AAATGGAAGGGTTGAAAACGCATGGTCCAATATTCTGTCATTTGACATGGCTATGCGTGTTGAGCCATCTCAAGAACAAGTTATGCGCTCTGTTTGAGATGTTTCATTGCTCTGTCACCGCTCACCTTCTTGCATTCATCAAACCAACCAGATTCTTACAGAGTATCTTTATAGCTCGTGGCTCCTTTCTGCGTACATATTTTGCACTCCACACTTTGTTCAACTCTTGAGCTTCTCTTTTTTGCATTTCCTTTCCACCAATGATGCTGCTGTTTCACGTGTCAAACCAAGAAGCGAGCACTCACAAGGTATCAAGATTTGTGAGCTTGGTGATCGAGTCAGGAATGGAGTTTCGAAAGACGTTGTAGCCAAGGTTCCTGATATTGGAGGGTTCATGATGGAAGAACAAAAGCAAAGGGTGGGTATTTTGTGAGAAGAATCAAGCCTCGTGCTGTTTAGGGCATTATGGTGGGAGAAAGCATTTCAGCATTTCCCCCATTATAAGAGTGAGGGTAAAAACTTTTATTGTTGCGTGAAATTAGCATTGCCCATTCTTCCAAGGAGATCAGCATTTCTGGCGCAGACTTTCTGACACAAACTATCAGTAGATAGATAGTCCACAGTTCACAAATACGTATGCATCCACACCACCAAAGGCTATCATTCTTGCCTTCCCCTCAGGCACAGTCACAGGAATTTATGCTCCGGCTTTCTGTTTCTCCTCCTGGCCTCTCTCGCCCACAACCTCCGTCTGAGGAGTGAAAACCCCGTTGCCACAAACCTTCTTAACAGCAATGTGAGCAAACTAGTGAATCTAATGTGAGAGAATCGCATAGAACTGATTCGCTTGTAGCTTGTGGGTGGGTGGTGGAACGGTCGAGTGAGGACCATAAAGGAGGATTCCATACAGGAGGAGTCCATAAAGGAGGAGTCCATACAGGACTCACATCCTTTTGAGAAACTCACAGCACTGACAACGCTCTAAGGTTGCCTATACTTGTGGAAATTGAGCCAACTAGGTTGTTCCCTGGAAGATTTCTGGATGTTGTAGAAAACAAACGAAGGGAGGGAGACTGAAGGGCGTTTTGAAGGAAGAGTAAAGGTTAGGATCGTGTCATTGTGAGCATGATTATGGAGCTTCGGTGATGAATAATATGCAGCATACATGTGCGCAAGGTGGGAAAAGGTGTGGCACAGTGCACATTCCAGAAACATTGATCGTCAACCTTGCTCAGAATGAAGAAATGAAAAGGAACAAGGACCTTTTCGCTATCTTCCTCCACACCCATTTTTTAGAGCACGAACCTGCATTCGCAGAGCACATAGCCTCTAGTGAAACTGGAAATCTCAAGGCGTGCAGTGCAGAGGTCCTTGCTGAGGTGAAGTCCGTGGTTGGCGAAATGCACAAATGGGGTTGGTTACTGTACAACTTACCTGACTGGGAAGCAATTATGAACTGCACTCACAATGTGTTGAGATTTGTGAGATTGAAGATCGTGTCAGGAATCCTGCCACTCAGCTTGTTGTAGCTGAGGAATCTGCGATGAAATAATTGGAGGGCATGCATATGGCGAGCACAAATAGCATATCTTCTGTGTGTGGAATACGAGAATCAATCTTTTGATCAACGTCTTGCTGATAGATACATTCTCAACTGGGGATGCTGACATTGCAAAGTCATACATATATACCTTACAACAGTACAGTACAATATATACCGCACCACAGTACAGAACAGCAATTGTATTTGGGAAACAAAACATCAGCAGGAGTTCATCGTATGATCGTGTATCTGTCTGTTTGATCCACATTTGCATCATTCGGCTGACCAACGTCCCTCTGTGTGTTGTATTCCCTGGTTGCTCTAAACGCACAGCAGCAGGAAGCTGCCTGCATGTGCAACGTAAAATGCAAATGGTCCGAACCAGTGGCTGTTGCATTCGTGTGCCTTTGTGTGCATGTGCTGGTGCGTGTGCGTGTGTGTGTGGAGGGGGAGAAGGGGTGGGGGGGGGGGGGCGGGAGGAAGGGTTGTGGGAGAGGAGGGGGGGTTGTAGGTGTGTGATCGTGCGTGCATGCCTTCGTGTGTGTGTTTGTACTATGTGGTAGTATGGGAGGGTTCATGTGAATTAGAAGGATAGTGGGTGGATTGTGGTTTCCCTATTTAGGCCAACAAGTGAAGAGAGCTCACAGGTCTCCCAGATTCAGAAGGTTGCCTAATGAGGCTGGTATCGTGCCAGTCGATACGTTATAATGTAGGTATCTGCTTTCCATGAGAGCAGAGGTGAAGAGGCAAGGAAAGGAAGGAAGAGTGGCACACAGAGTAAATCACAGAGCAGCAGGTGTTTGGACAATCAGGGAGCAGAGCTTGTCCAGCAAGTACAGACAAGTTTATCATCATCACCAACTCAAACCGCACTGAATGCCTGGAGACTTCACAATAATCACCTAACATTTGAACGTCAGCAAACATACATACATTGTAATGTGAATGTAAGTAAGACCTCAGTGGGCCTATGGCTGGCTTAGCGTGGCATGGTGAAGGCATGCAGAGGCTCAGCTGGAGTTGATTTGACCTAAGTTGCCAAATACGCTTATAGCGTATATACGCGTATCGTATTTACGCTAGCATAAGTACGCTATCCGCGTAGGGGGTCGATGTGGACATACGCTTTTCCAGGCAGGGAAAAAACTTTCCGGGCAGGGTGAGAAAAAACGTACTCCGTATTCTCACTATGACGTGCCCTAGCAGCATTCTTCTGAGTCCGAACGGCGGGTGGGGCGGGAGGTGGGGTAGACATTTCAGCTAGAGAGAGAAGTAGGAGTGGGAGGGAGGAACTCTGTTGGAAGCGGGAATGATTCGTGGGAAATGACGAATTTGCAGCTAGGGCCCAGAGGTCGATTTTGAGAGCTTGGAGTTTGTAGATGGGTTGGGGTTGAAATGGGTTTCAATGCGGTAGATGAGATGGGTTTCAATCAATGTGTAGATCTGAAATTCGACATTTGTGCCAAATGTGCCCACTTCGAAGTCAGATCCCAGCTAGCCCAGACCACAGATTTTAATTTCGACTTCGGCGAAATGCTCACCTAGGAATTCCGCAACTATTTTGCGATATTTTTTTCGGGCAGCCCGAAAAATTTTCTGAAAGCGTATAGCGTATTCGCGGGCGTGTAGCGCATAGCGTACAAACGCTAGCGTACATACGCTATACACTGAAGGGGTCGAGCGTATTTGGCAACTTAGGATTTGACCCACAACCACAACGGCATTGACTCGAGCATAAGCATGTGGTGACCGGGTCGGGTTGATGCGGTGTGGCTCGTCGAACAGTTGATTTTTTTCTTATTTTGACTCAAGAAAAAGATCGAGAATAAGCATGTAGGCATGAGCATCCCGCCCCGGCGGGTCGGGTCAGGAGTTCTGAACCGCTGACCAGGCCGGGTCGGGTCGGGTCGGGTTTAGGCCCGATTATGGACCCGACCCGGTTTCGGGTACCGCGCCCTATGTCGGGTCGGATATCTGGCCCGACCGGAGGGTTTCCTCTCGACAATGTTATCCAGATCGCAATCGCGCATCTTGTTTTCCCAGCGACTAGCATTTCGATCTGGATTAAGTTAAGTTACCTAGCTAGTGACATCGGAAGCCACCCACCAAGAAACATTGGCGTACTAATCTACCCTATAACCTGCGATAATGTTTAGTTAGTACTCGGCCAATCGTTTTTTTATAAGTTATTCGCACTTCGCGCCAACCAGCCTAGGGTTTCCATTTAATCCGATTTTAACAGGTCGCACTCCCTAGTTTATTTACACTATAAAGGATGTTGTATAACATAATATTACAGCTACTTTCAATCAATGCAACACTGCACAGCATTAAAGAGAACCTCTAACCCTGCCTATGGGAGTCGGCTCGACCCGACCCGACCCGGCTCCGACCCGACCCGACCCGGGGGCGGGTCAAGCCTGACCCGGCATCCGATACCCGGGTCGGGCCAGAGATCTTTGAAGTTCCGACCCGACCTGGAACCCGGCTGGCCCGCCCAAGTCGGGTCGGGTCGGGCCTTTTGATCATACCTATAAGCATGTGCTGTGCGGATATATGTGGCTCGCATATTAATCCAAATATCAGCAGCACTCGGTAGACAGCAAGATAGAGCCCCCCCATGGGGTTAGTTGTGGTGTGTGGGTGGGTCGCACCGCACACATGGGAAGTTGTGAGCACAAAGGAAAGCAGCAGCACTGACAGGCGATCAAGGATGGTGAGGCTGCCCAGGGATGCAGGAATGGTGCCCGTCAAGCGGTTGTAGCCAAGGTTCCTGATGTTGGATGGGGGATGATGATGGGGAAACATTACCTAAGGATGCAGGGATACAGGAATAAGGAAGGATGGTGCCCGTCAACGTCAAGGGGTTGTAGCCAAGGTTCCGGATATTGGATGGAGGCATGACGACGACGACGACGGACTTGGTCTGATCTTTTTAGGAGATGCCATAAAATGGAGTGATAGGAGAAAGTTGGGCCTATTATGGAATCATGTCACAATAGAATCGACCTTGATGGATTCTAACCAAATGACTTACAAGTTGGTCAAATACACAAGGTTTGTAAAACACGCTGGAATGGACCCCGTCAGCTTGTTTTGAAGTAGGGATCAGCATGTCGGAATCAGGTCAGGGTGCAAAAGGGAAATGGAAGGGCCAAAAAGAGGTTTGTGAGTATGACGAAATCATCCCACCAATATTACTGCTGCAACAATAACTAACAGGCGCCGGCGGTGAGCAAAGGAACAAGGAGAAATTGATGTGACGTTTCAGAGCCCCTGAAAATTGTCATGTGCAGCTCGGTGCCTCGTGTGTGACCAGGTTCCTCGTGTGTGACCAGGTGCCTCGTGTGTGACCAGGTGCCTCGTGTGTGACCAGGTGCCTTGCACAACTCATCTCGATGCCTCTTGCGACTCAGCTCAATGTGCGCTCGGTGACATGGCATGTGCGCTCGGCGACATGCCATGTGCGCTCGGTGACATGCCATGTGCGCTCGTTGACATGCCATGCGCGCTCGGTGCCATGCCATGTGCGCTCGGTGACATGCCATGTGCGCTCGGTGACATGCCATGTGCGCTCGTTGACATGCCATGCGCGCTTGGTGCCATGCCATGTGCGCTCGGTGACATGCCATGTGCGCTCGGTGACATGCCATGTGCGCTCGGTGACATGCCATGTGCGCTCGGTGACATGCCATGTGTGCTCGGTGACATGCCATGTGCGCTCGGTGACATGCCATGTGCGCTCGGTGCCATGCCGTGTGCATTCGGCGGTGCCATGCCATGTGCGCTCGGTGCCGTGCCATGTGCGCTCTATGCCATGCCACGTGCGCTTTATGCCATGCCATGTGCGCTTGGTGACATGCCATGTGTGCTCGGTGACATGCCATGTGCGCTCGATGACATGCCATGTGCGCTCGGTGCTATGCCGTGTGCGTTCAGCGGTGCCATGCCATGTGCGCTCAGTGCCATGCCATGTGCGCTCTATGCCATGCCACGTGCGCTCGGTGCCATGCCATGTGCGCTCGGTGACATGCCAAGTGCGCTCGGTGACATGCCATGTGCGCTCTATGCCATGCCATGTGCGCTCTATGCCATGCCATGTGCGCTCTCATGGACCCTCACGGACCCTCATGGACTTGTCCCAAAGTAGCGCGGCCACGTGCGCTTTATGCCATGCCATGTGCGCTTGGTGACACGCCATGTGTGCTCGGTGATATGCCATGTGCGCTCGATGACATGCCATGTGCGCTCGGTGCCATGCCGTGTGCGTTCGGCGGTGCCATGCCATGTGCGCTCAGTGCCATGCCATGTGCGCTCTATGCCATGCCACGTGCGCTCGGTGCCATGCCATGTGCGCTCGGTGACATGCCAAGTGCGCTCGGTGACATGCCATGTGCGCTCTATGCCATGCCATGTGCGCTCTATTCCATGCCATGTGCTCTCTATGCCATGCCATGTGTGCTCTATGCCATACCATGTGTGCTCTATGCCATGCCATGTTCTCTCTATGTCATGCCATGTGCGTTTTATGCTATGCCATGTGCTCTTGGTGCCATGTGCTCTCGGTGCCATGCCATGTGCGCTCAGTGCCATGCCATGTGCGATTGGTGCCATGTGGGGAGTGGCTGAGGCTCACATATTAACCGAATGAGGAACGGCACTAACAAGATTTCATTTTTTTTTAGATTGCCAATAGATGCTGGGATGGTGCCCTGAAATTTGTTGTAACCGAGTTGCCTGATGAGGACAGAGAGAGCACGCATATAGCAAAAAAAAAACGGCACAGAATGTAAGCAACAAAGGGGAAGTGAATTTATCAAAATGCGGCTTCAACCAGAGCCCCTGTGCCTTGTGACATTCCTATAAAACACAGCGCAGCTAACTTACAAGGCATTCCTGTCTAAGTTAAAACCGAGTTCAAGGCACACGGGTTAAGTTAAAGCCGAGTTCAAGGAACACGGGTTACGGTTAAAGCTGAGTTCAAGGAACACGGGTTACGGTTAAAGCCGAGTTCAAGGCACACTGGTTACGGTTAAAGCCGAGTTCAAGGCACACGGGTTACGGTTTAAGCCGAGTTCAAAGAACACGGGTTACGGTTGAAGCCGAGTTCAAGGCACACGGGTTACGGTTAAAGCCGAGTTCAAGGAACACGGGTTAAGGTTAAAGCCAAGTTCAAGGAACACGGGTTACGGTTAAAGCCGAGTTCAAGGCACACGGGTTACGGTTAAAGCCGAGTTCAAGGCACACGGGTTACGGTTAAAGCCGAGTTCAAGGCACACGGGTTACGGTTAAAGCCGAGTTCAACTTGCTGGCTTGCAAGCCAAGCCACTCTTGCCTCCTCTTGCCCAGCCAAGCCACTCTTGCCTCCTCTCTTGCAAGGCCAAGCCACTCTTGCCTCCTCTCTCACAAGGCCAAGCCACTCTTGCCTCCTCTCTCGCAAGGTCAAGCCACTCTTGCCTCCTCTCTTGCAAGGCCAAGCCACTCTTGCCTCCGATGAGTAGGGGGCAAGACGAGCACACACTAGGCATACTGGCTCAAGGCGTGCAGCCCTCCTCCTGGCTTGGCTCGTGATGAGCCTGCTCTGCTCCGCTCGGCCTGGCTTATGTAAGGTACACGATGAGCGAGCAAGTATACTAGGCTACAAGCTCAAGGCGTGCAGTCCTCCTGGCTAGGCCTCCAAGCAAACGCTATAAAATACTATGTTTTGGGGTATTAGAGTTGTGATTTGCAAGTATGTGAGGCTTGGCAACGTCTTATGCATCTATTTGAGTTGTCCGTCTGTTTGAGTTGCCCGTCTGTTTGAGTTGCCCGTCTGTTTGAGAAACTCACAAGTCAATCAGGCTAGGAAGGTTGCCAATAGTTGCTGGTATGGGGCCAGTCAGATTCCCATTCCACAAATTTCTGCAATTTGAAAAAGCAGGTAGTTAAGGGATTATTACAAAATAAGCGATTCAGTGAACGTTTTTATGATTTTTGTTTTTTTTTTGTTTAGTAGAGAGACGAGACGAGGTCAAGAGGTGCTTCTAACAGGTGGGACTGCAAGGGAAGAGAAGGCATTCAAAGCATACAACAGCTAAAGATGCACCCGACCAGAGGCGGCCAATTTGGTACACACAGATACTTGTATTGTATAAAAAAATTCTTGTACACACAGATACTTGGACAGGAGTCTTCGCCAAACAGAGTTGGCGTAGCAAACTTCAGCAGTCTCTTTGAAGTAATTGGCGTGAGGAGGGGGGTGAGAATTTGGCCAAATGTGCGGCTTGATTCGATTTAGCCACGCTCAGACAGCTCTGAATCTGCCTCCGGCTAGAAAAACCCATCAAGCAGAAAAACTCACTCTTTTGAGCTGAGCAAGACGCCTTCTAAGGCGAATCAAGCAGAATCCCAGGTGGGGGTATCACTCACAAGTGGTCAAGGCTTTGGAGATTGCTGATGGAGTCTGGGATTGAGCCGCCATTCAAGTTGACATCATAAATACTTCTGATGAGTGGACATTGGATTGGAACGGAGGTGAGGTAATTGCAAGAGTATTAGAGATAGAATATGTCGCTCACATGCGTTAGATGGATATTGTGTCTGCGTTCGTGCATATGGCATGAATATGCGGCAAGCGTGCATATGAAGTGCGAGTGGTGCATGTATGCATGTGGCTTGCGTGACTATGTTGAAAGCAAGGATGTGACATGAATATGCTGCATGCCTGCTAATGGCATCATAACATACAATATGCGAGCCACATAGACCGCTCATAGAAATCATGAAATTTAGTTAAGCTATACGGCTTATATGTAACGGCGAGTTCAAACTAGTAGAGGTGGACAGTGGAATGACAAATAACAGACAGTATGATAGAATAGGACGATGGAGAGATAGCGAGACAGGGAGAACATGGGAATATGCATGCGAAGCAAAGGGAATGGTGATGGAGCGATTGACAGAGGAAGCACTGATGGGGGGAAGGGGGGGTTGGGGGCTAAGTTGGAATATACGCTAAGGGCCTTTAGCGTTCAGCGTATGAACGCTAGCGTGTACACGCAATACGCGAAACGCTAGCGAATACGCTATACAGAACCTTTATTTTTTTGGGGCAGCCCGCTCGACCCAATTTTTTTCAAACACACCAAAAGATGCGGAATGGCACGGCGAGCAATTCTGCGACGTCAGATTGCACGTCCGAGGTCTAGGGTTGCGGGAAATTGGATTCATGTCCTGGTGTCGCGATTTCACTTTCACATGTTGCACGTTCACACATTGATGGTCACGTACATCGAGTCGCGTTTGCACGTTGGCACATTTCTATCCCAACACGTTACCACATTCAAACCCACAGCATTCATTCAGTCCAACCATTCCTGCACAATCTCCCTCCACTCGTCATGCTACTTATCAACTCGTCACAACGTGCATCTCATTCAGTTTCCCTCTCCCGCTACCAACAACTAGCCTCATTGTGATGGCATCTAGCAGTCCGCCTCTCACGCCGCCTTCGGTTCAGTCAGTGGAGAGTTCTATTGATCGTCCAGAAGGGACAAGGAACCTGTTGAATGTGGGGCCACATCTCAATCAGCATGCGGAGATCAATAGAACTCTCCACTGATAGAGGACGAGGAACTCCGCATGTGGAGTGGGTTCCTCGTCAAATATTTCCCCACGTCCTCCTTCACCAGCATGCGGAGTTCCTCGTCGGCCACGACGGGAAGGGGAGGGATGCGACCTGCGATTACTTGGTTGAGTTGGGGGACGGGCTGAGGGATTTCTTGGACATGAAGGGGAGTTTCGGGATGGCAGAGGCTGTGGCACAAAGGGAGAAAGTGAAGGCGGGCAAATACAGCATGGTGAAGTGGTGGCAGTGGAACGGGACAGATGCCCCTCGCCTTGCGTCCCTCGCCATCCGGGTTCTCTCGCAGCCCGTCTCGGCTTCACCCTGTGAGCGTGGCTGGTCATCGTGGGAATCCGTCCACACTGCCCGCAGGAACCGCTTAGGATCCGCCAAGTGTGCGGATTTGGTGTTTGTTGCGCACAACTGGAACGTTGTGCGCAACTGGCACACGCGCAAGGATGTGATGCCTAATGTTGTGTGTGGGAATGAGCCGGAGCCCCCCATCCCCGAAGATTACAATGTGCTGGATGAGCAGGAGGAGGAGGAGGAGGAGGAGGGTGAGGATGAGGACGCCATCTTGGAGGACGAGTATGAGTAGTGGGTAACGAAGTGGGGGGGGAGGAGGGTGGGTACTAGTAGGGAGAGACTAGTATGACTCGTAACTGGATGTGTATGGCATGGCTAATTTTATTATGGGGGTAAAAAAAAAAAAACAGAAACACATCCCGCACAAAAACCCCTCTGGACCCAACCCTGTGAGGGTTTTTTTACCCTGCCCAGGAAACTTTTTTTCCTGCCCAGAAATGCGTATCCTGGATCTGACCCCTCTAGCGTTTAGCGTGCAAACGCTAGCGTATATACGAAACGTGTAAATACGCCAAACGCGTTTATTCCAACATAGGAGGGAGGGAATGGGGAGTTGGCGATTGGGGGAAGGACGGTTGGGGGACGAGATGAGGGGGAGCTGGGGAGTTGGCGATTGGTGGGAAGGCTGAAATGAGCAGTGGCTGATTCGAGGAACAAGTAGAGTCGCGGCTCGTCTCGAGTGTTTTATCAAGCCATGCCGTGCCATGCCGTGCCGTGCCATGACATGCCTGCCATGCCATGCCGTGCCATGCCATGCCGTCCTGTGCCGTGCCATGCCCGTCCCGTGCCATGCCGTGCTATGCCGTGCCATGTAATGCCATGCCATGTCGTGCCATGCCGTGCCATGTCATGTCATTCCATGCCGTGGCGTGCCGTTCCATGTCATGCAATACCGTGCCGTGCCATACAATGCCATGCCATGCCATGTCGTGCCATGCCATGCCATGTCGTGCCATGCCATGCCATGTCCTACCATGCCGCCGTGCAGTGCCTTTTGGTTGCGAAGAGGGCCACTTACTGAGTTATTGCTGCTATTTATAAGGGAAGTAAGGACGATGGATGGAGGGCCAAAGAGGTGGAGAAGCGAGAAGAAAGTGTGGTCCCTGTTTGCTGAAGCAAGAAGGAAGCGTGGTCCTGGTGGGCCCACTCCCATCCCATGGCTTTTACCATCTGACCCCCAAAGGTCCACTCGCATCTGAACTGAAGCATCAGGGTGCACTCACATCTCCGGGATCATGCCCTGGCAATCGCACTTGAGGCCGCTTGCTTTGTCGCAATCCCCACCAACCACCCAGCCATTAAACGTTTTGCCCCACGCCTTCTGACAGACCAGCAGGACTTGCGCTGTTGTCGGGAGGAGAGGAGGGGACGGGGCCGGTGGAAGAGAAGAGTTGAGAGAAGGGCAGGGAGTGGAAAGAAGGGATGCATGCCCTCAATGCATGCCCTCCCACATCTCATCACATCCCCTCCTCTCATCATATACCCTCCTCTCATCGCATGCCCTCCTCTCATCATATTCCTTCCACCTCTCTCATCACAATCCCTCGCACCTCATCACATGCTCAGCCCGCCTCCTGCCAGGGATGAGTGAACAGGGAAAGACATATAACTATGAATCATATCCTCCCCCCTTCCCTCACCTCTCCTCCCCTCCCATCCCCTCCCTTTCCATGCGGCCATCC